AAAACCTGAAGGATTCGTACTTCTGCACTAATTTATCAGATATTTGTCTAGGAGTTGCTAGAGTAAAACATTAGAGAGAGAGATGTTCACTGCAGCTATTCTTTACATTGGTCATTTATGTTTCACTGTAACAATATGTTTTAAGCAAGGATTTCACTTTAATCTTTTACTTCAGTCCACTGAGCCCTGCCAAGAAGAGTGAAATGCTTAGTCCCAAGCCCAAAAAGTTTACATCACAAATAGTTAAAATCAAACAGTATATGGAGGAAAATGGGACAGGTGCACACAAAAGACCCATAACAGATGGGAAAAGGACACAGGTTTCTTAATCACTGTTTCCTCCACGCATACCCTCAGGTTTCTCTGCTGACAATGGCCAGTATTATTTTTTAGAGCTGTTAAGGATGGTTTGCAGAGTAGTTAGAGCACTGGATCCTGATCCTCCTGCTCTGGCAGGACATGCATAGAGATTGAACAAGACTAGTGGAAATAATACCACCCTCTGGTGAGTAGCAACAAGGCCAAGGCACCATAAATAACAGCTACATACTCTCAAAGCCTTCTCCAAAAAGTCTGGGAGGACATAAATCCCTGTCTTCACAAACACTCTAACTTGGACCAGAACAAATAAAGGGTCCAGAAAGCAGTGAGCACACTTAGCACTACCAAATCTCCAAGTCTGGAGCTATCACCTAGAAAATTGAGAAGGGAACGTATGTGGAGAGCTTAAAAAGAGGTAAGGAGCAGAAGGGAGCCCTGACATAGCTGCTGGGGAAGGCACCGGCTCTTGGCACAGCAGATACCGAGCAGCAGCATCTTACCTTGGCTCTGGGAGCCCTCCAGTGGCTGCACACCCATCGCTGCCTACAACGGGAACCGAACGTCCCCAGAGAAAGAGGCAGTGGGACCCTACAGCTGCCGAGATGAGAAGAGGGCATCAGCCCTTTCTCTGATCTAAAGCAAGAGCAGCAAACTTCATGCTAAGCCCCAGACTGCACAATAAGTTAAACCTAGAAGGAAAGAGCAAGCATTTGCAGGCAGAAGCTGGAGCTCAGCTTACTTCAAACACAGGTTAACAACAAGGAGGTGAATGACTTGTTGATGATACTGGGGTCATGGGAGTCCAGAGCAGGGTACCAGGAGACACCAGAGCCCTCTTTCCCCACTGAACCGTAGCACAAGCACTCGGATGATTTTGAGAGATGGTGGTTTTTACACCTAGGGGTGACAAGACCAGATGAGCACAAGGGGTAAAACACAGCTGGCTGGCAGGCTCTAGGTTCAGAAAGATGAACTACCTCAAGGCAGCAGATCAAAGGTCTCACTTGCCACCTCCTTGGGCAGATTGCAAGGGTTTTCTTCAGATGGGTGAGTGGGTAGCACTGGAAAGCCACCCCTCTTGCACCATCAGACACGTGGAGTGGGTGTTTGCAGCCCCAGGCTGCAGTCTCCTTCCTTTAGGTGGAAAATGGTCATACCCCAATACCCTCTGCTGGGTTTTTCACATGACTGACCACAGAACTATTAATATCTGAACACAGAGCTGGTTCAGCTAGACAACTCATTCCCTCCAAGGAGAGGAAAACCACAACTTCTTCCATCTCTGGAAAAACCTTTTGTGACTGCAAAACCAGCAGCTCAGATGTGGTAGAGACGGTCCTGGTTTGCCAATACACCTCAGTGGAGAACGACAACCAGCATGAGAGAGCTTGGTTTGTTTCTCCTGTGCCTCCTTCGCATCTCCAGGAAAGGTGAGTTCTCAGCTTGCTATGAAACCTGTCGAATCAGGGCTTTTCATCTCGCTTTAGTTGAAGTGTCAGGGGAATTGCTCAGTATAATAAACTATCCAAGCACTACACCATCCACTGCATTGCTTAAAAGAATGGTGAAATTCCATGTGCATGTGGGAATACTGGAAAAGAAACTCAAAGGATTGACTCTGAAATCGTCAGAAATCTTTGGTTTGGTAATTTTTGCATTTTTTTGCTAACTCTTGCAGGAAGTTGTTGCTCTTCTAACTTGTCCTTGCTAGATCAAGGCTGGTGTCTGTGGCAGTTTCCAGCTCTTGATCCCATTATTGTCTTCATACCCTTTCCATTGACAATTAGCAGATACCCTGACCTGACAGCTCCTTTCGGGAGTTACCTCGTGTAAGGTGTGTAAGATATTTGACTGCAACCTTCTCTGTTTCTTGTGGGAGCTCCAACCCCAGAAACAAATAGATATTTGCAAGAGGAAGCCACAGAAGACCTACCATACTGAAACTTCAGGATTACGGTTAAATTACACACAAAATGCTGACAATTCAGTCCACTCATAGCCTAGGCAAACTCTGTTTCAATAGAAATGGATGGACCTGATAACATAGAAAGCACTTATTTTTAATATTATTTCTCCTACAGAAGGCAAGGGGATGTTTATGTGCTAAAAATATAATGTTCTTTGTTAAGATTTTATAAGAAATGCAACCAAAAGGTGGCAGAGAAAAGCAAATCACACTCAAAAGCACACGATCTGCAGCTCTCCAAAGCAAGGGGTTTTAGTGATATGCTGTAAAACAAACAAAATAACATGAAATAAACTAGAAAACAGCAGCATTTTCTGGTTTCACTGCCAGGTCTTTGTGCTCACAGCCCGTGAGCCTTCCTGGCACTCCTGTGGCCAGGCAGATTAGATTATTTAGATTACCAAGGCTGCAAGAGGTGCTCGTGTCGTGCTAACAAACAACAAGGCAGCCCGGCTCCAGATCTCAGTAACCAAAATGCTGGCTCCGACCTGATTCCAGATAAATAACAGCAGAGAACCAGTCCTGGGGTGACCCTCCTCCATTGTGCAGCACACAATGGATTAATACGAGCTGCACCGTGCACCGCCACAGAGTTATTTGTCAAACGTGATGGAGAACAGATCTATGAGCTAATAACAAACTTTATCTTAGCGTTTACATGAGTAACCCGACAGCTGAATGCCCACAGATCACGGTGGAGTCGACTCGACCAGGGATGGGCAGCAATTACTTATGGGATTCATTTTTCACAGTTATTCTCAGCCACTGAGGGTAAAGCTCCTGATTTAATGAAGCCATCAAGTGGGTTTTATAAGACAGGAATGCAGCTACAGACATTGCTGAAGCCACAATCTGCTGCTTCATCTGCTGCAATTAGCAGGACAGTGGATAGATACACACATCTTTGTGGAAAGCACTGCCTACAGGTGCTGTTTGTTGGTGTTGGTGGTTCCTCAAGAAAGGAAACAGACGAGACACTGAGTTTTACCCTTGTACTTCAGAGGTGGGGAGTGTCCAGACAGATGAAGGTTGTTTTCATCATGAGACAGAAACCATCAGACTGGGTCTGGTGGCAACAAGATTCAGCTCCCCAGACTGCGCTAGGATTTACTGTGACCAAATTTGGCCAAGAGAGCAAAATCCCACCCCATTTGTGTCATCTTAGCTGGAAAACTCGGGATTTTCCCCACCATGACAGCAGGACAAGGTCTGTCTGGAAAGAGGATGCTCAGAGGACTGGAAGAGCTGCTATATGAAGAAAGGCTGAGAAAACTGGGCCTGCTCAGCCTTGGGAAGAGAAGGCTTAGGAGGGACCACATCACTATGTACCAGTACATAAAGGGTAGCACCAAGAAGATGGAGACTCCCTTTTCACAGGGAGTCACATGGAAAAGACGAGGGGCAATGGGCACAAAGTGCTGTTGGGGAGATTCCAACTGAACTCCAGTAGAAATATTTTACCATGAGATCAATCAGACATTGGAATAATCTATCAATGAGATACTGGAGTGATCTATCAATGAGAATTTGGAATAATCTCGCAGGAGAAGTGGTGAATTCCCCTACACTGGTCAGTTTGAAGAGTCAGTTTGACAGGTGCTGACTTAACTCATTTAAACGGTACTATTACCTTGAGAGGTTGGACCAGATGATCCTTGTGGTACCTTCCAGCCTGGTACTCTATGATTTTATACGATGCTGGCAGCTGGAGTCCACACAATGACAACGTGCTCTGCTAAAAAGGAGATGCTTTTTGTATGGTCAAGGGCAGTGCCTAAAGCCACCAGATCTCAAAATAAAAGTTTTGCATGTATTCATAGATTTTTTTTTAAGTAAAAAGAAGTCTGTTCCTCCAAGCACATAAATGATATTAACTGCAAAAGTGTGTTAAACGACTTCAGGTGCTATTGTTCCCTTGACAAACAGGAGGCCTGCTCAGGAATTAAAGTATTTGCAACATGAGCTGGTCAGTCCCCTTAGCTCTGCTGCAAACCGGTACCAAATCCAGCCATGGTAACTGGGCTGTACAAGCATTTGCAAGTCCTCAGCCAGAACACCAAGAGCACAGGGCCAACCATGAGGACAAAGCAGTCATTTCCTGAGCAACAACACAGCAGATGCAGGAAGGATACCTAATTCCCTGCTAAACACTCTGGATAAATCAGTCTTGATCATCTCATGAGACCTCCCCTGCAGGGCCGTGTCCAGCTCTGGCATCCCCAACACCAAAAGCCATGGAGCTGTTGGAGCGGGTCCAGAGGAGGCCATGGAGATGCTGAGGGGCTGGAGCAGCTCTGCTATGGGGACAGCTGAGAGAGTTGGGGTTGTTCAGCCTGGAGAAGAGAAGGCTCTGGGGGGACCTTAGAGCACCTTCCAGGACCTGAAGGGGCTACAGGAAAGATGGGGAGGGACTTTTTACAAGGGCATGGAGGGAGCGGACACGGGGCGATGGCTTTAAACTGGAAGAGGGGAGATTTAGGGTATGTATTAGGAAGAAATCCTTCCCTGTGAGGTGGTGAGGCCCTGGCCCAGGTTGCCCAGAGAAGCTGTGGGTGCCCCCTCCCTGGCAGTGCCCAA